TGACATTACAAACCTTCCCTTGTGATGTGCACCTTGTATGAAATATGTTATGATGAAGCCAACTTTCATCTTTTGTCATCATAACAGTGTTAAGGTTACGATGAACAATAAGAGCTTCTCTATGGTCAGCAAAAACTTCTTCTATCTCTTCGTTGTTGAATATTTCTTACTCATTTTCTATTTCTTCTAGGCTAGGTTCTTCCATAACTTCTTCCTCAATTAAGGAGATAATTCTTCGATTTGGACAATCAGAAGCAATATGTCCAAATCCTTGGCATTTGAAACACTATTTTTTTTACATTAAAAACATGAGTAAAAGTAGTCTCTTTATTATTATTACTTACAGTTTTGGAATAGTTTACCTTTGGAGGTAGAATAGTTGCTGAACTTTGATTTCCATGGTTTGAAGTAGATTCTTGTTGTTTAGATGAACTCATTAAGCTTTTCTGTAATTGTTGTTTCTCAACTTTTAATTCTAATCTGATGACATCATTTAATTTCCAATATAGTTCTAGTTGAACAACATCTGTTATTTCAACATTGAGACCCTCCAGATAACGAGCTACAGTTCGTTCTTCACGCTCATGGACATCACACTTCATGTGAAGTTGTTCAAACTCCATTGTATATTCTTTCACCGACATTGTTTTTTGCCTCAAATTATGAAATTTGATAAAATTTCTTATCAATAATACTCAAGAAGGAACTTACGCTTGAATTCTTAACGCATCTTATCCCATGCTCTGATCTTGTTGCGTCTTTTTCTTTCTCATTGCCTTTTGAGATTTTCCTACCAACTAGAAACATGCTTCTTCAATTTAATTACCACAAGCTTTGCATGTTTTTCATCAAGAATATCTTTGAGCTCGAAAACTTTTTCTACTGTGTAGAGCCAGTCAAAGAAGTCATCAGGATGAAGTCTTCCTTCAAACTCAAGAATGTCGATTTTAATTCTCAAATCTTTAGCAGCAGCAGTTCTCAGGTAACGAATAAGTACTTCTTCATCAGAGGACAAACTTTGGTGAAACGGGTTAGTGTCGTTCTCTTCATCACTAAAGCTGCTATTGTTGATTTGAGCATCACGTCTTACTAGTTGCTCTTATAATTCTTAAATTTGATGACATAATTATGCTATCTTAATCTCATGATCATCTTTTTGATAATTTTGACGTCTTAGTGGCATTTTATTATATGGTGATGATGATGTGGTGATGTAGAGAAAGAAAAAAAAATGATGATATGATTGTAAAACAATAAAAGAAATAGAATTACCCGAACAAAAAGTGTCGAAACCTGTCAACGAACTTGAACTACACAACGAATAATGATCTTCCTACTCTAATACCAAACTGATGCCGAGACGTTGTAAAAGACACCCGAACGTTGCGAAAGACACCAATTATGGTGAAGTTAGAAACCCACTAAGATGAATCACCAATTTTGACAAGATTAGAAAATCTCACTAAGGTGAAAAATAGTCAAAATTCCACTTTGGTTGCCTAGGCCAAAGATACTAAAGCTCTTACTCTTTAAAAAGAGCTTAAATAAATAAACACTCATGATTAAGAACGTATTATTTATTAACTCTCAACTTAAATGTCAATAATAACTAAACTTAAGGGTCCTATTTATAATATTATAGGTCCACATCCTAATAAAACTTTACTTTTAGTTGTCTAATACAATTAAAATATTTAACAAAAGATTTAAACAAAATAGTTGTTCTATTCCTAAATAGAATATGACTGTTCTAATCAAATACTAATTCTTAGAAGTATTAAAATCTCAATAAAAAATAAGAAAAGAATCCTAATCTAAATATAATAAAAAAAATAAACTCCTAAATCAACTAAAATAAGTAAAAACTAAATTAAATAAAATACAATCCTAAACGTTCGTGCGTCAGTTTACCTCTCTTTTCCAAGAAGAGAAGATGATACATTTCAATTAAAATAAATAACTTCGGTTGAAATAGGGACTGCACAACCAAATTACAAAAAAGTCATTACGATCAAAAGGGCTGTGAAAGCTACATAATGACCAATGGCTATGGAAATTAAAATGTTTGTATGCTGTTGGGCAGCTAAACACTAAACACCTGTTGGGTTTACACTACAGTAATCTCTTTTCTCACATCAATAGCTTCCAATTTGCTTTAACAAACTACGAATAAAGGAAATTAACATGCAACTGTTCATTAGATGATCCTCAGGTCACTATTGTAATTCTAAAATTTGAAATAGATCAACAATCTTAGAATACAGGCAATCCAACACTAAGCATCAACAATAACACTAATTTCCCATTAAACATACGAGAAAGAAAGATCGTTCAGCTACCATATAAATTTTGCAGTCTAATATACAAGTTTATCATTCAACCAGCCATGCTTAACACTTACGAAAACTAAAACAGAAAGGAAAGACAGTTGCTAAAACTTTTATTGCAAGAAAAATAAAATGGAGGGGAAGGGGGAAAGGAGGGGAACAAATGTGTGAAAAGCACTAAACAGCAAGATCCCACATACCCATTTGAAAGATATTTCCTTTCTTCATCGTTTCACAAAATACAATTCTTCCTGGTTCAATCAAGCATCCAAGTTATCCATTTGAATGCTGCTCTTGAGGGGCACATACTCCCCAAGATATCCACCGAGATGATCATGTAAAGCACTCTTATCAATTCCCTGATGATGATAACTCTTACAAACATAGTAAAATACACTCTGCACCAACAACCCCACCAGATTCACTATCACCAAAACTCCAACCAAAAATCCTCCGACCACAATTCTCCCAAAAACCCCATAGCTTTCTCCTCCATGTACCACCACCATCCCGAAAATACCCCCAATCACAGCACAAATTGCCAAATATCCAAAAACCAAAACGAAAGCCATCTTCACCCTCCCTTTCAACAACTCGTAGCTCTTCTTCATTGCTGCAAACCCGTAAACCGGTTCAAGCACCGACACCACACTTGCCAAATGCCATAGAGCCGTGATGTAAACATGAACACCCAAGAAGAGCACCACAATTACCATAAACGCCAAGAACGATAAAATGGTATTCTGGGAATCAATGGCTACGACAAATATGACCAAGAAAGCAATCAACAGGGCATTGTAAACAAACATCAAGATAGAAACCCATGTGAAAGTTATAAAAAGGCGCTTGAAAACCTTGGGTATGGCTGAGATCGTTGAAGAGAAAGAGACTGGCTTTGATGTGTAGAGCGAAGCAACTGTAAAGACAACTGCAGCAGTCGATAATAGAGAGAAGGCGAAGAGGAAGATGAGGTAAAAGAACTGGAAGATGAAGAGGAGGGTCCATTCGTGACGGGTTTGGGCCGGGTCGGCTAATGGACGGGATTCCAGTTGAGCCAAGATTGGGTGGGTGAAAAGGGAGTGAGCTAAAATGGCAAAAGAGAGAGGAAAAATAAGAGCCAAGGTGATGAGGTAGAAGGTTTTTGGGGATCTTTTTGGGATTGCAATTGATTCTCTTAGGATATCTGGTATGGACAAGAACTGAAGCTCTTCCGGCGCTAGATCCATGACGTTTTCGAGGCTATAATCGGGAAATTAAAATCTGGGAATGCAAGAATGTCAGGGAATCGAATGAGGGGCTCAAGATTTGGGGGGTGAGCTGAAGAAGAAAGTGTGCAGATCGTTGAAGAGAAGGAAGTAGGAAGATGAGGAAATGAAAGTCGGTATACGATATCAGGTGGCAATTTGAGGGCACTTTGGAGAATTCAGACAACTATTTATTTCTGTCTTACCATCGGTAAATTATTTAATTATTGAATACAAATAATCCCATTTGCTTTGCTAGTAGGAATAAGATTTTCTTTTCCAAATTATTCTTACTAAGATTAATTAGTGAAATAACGCCATCAACAATTCCATTCCATTAAAATAATTAAGTCGTCAAAATATTTGATATTAATTTGGTGTTTAATTATGTTATTATATTTTTTAATTTTTTAAATTGTGCATTCAATTTATTTTCAATACTTGAAATTCTTAAAAAAAGAAAAAATAAGAAGGCCACAAAGTTGGGCCTAATAATCCAAAACTGGCCCAATTAGATCACGATGGAACCACCAAAACGCTCATATAACGGGGGAAACGATGTATAAACGTCCCCCGGGGACTAAGAACTAACCGAAAGCCATATCGCTGGAGTGAAGAAGATCGAGGTAAGCTCCTTCGCAGATCTGTGTACCCCTCGAACTCAATCGTTAATTTGGAGGACGAAATCTGTAGATCTAAATTTTCCATCTTTCGATTTCATTGCATTCCATGTTTCCAACCCTTCGAATTGGTGAAGGCTGTATTCAGTCGGAGCTGTTTTTTTTTTTTTCTTTCCCGTCGTTTCGCCTAATTTTCGTTGCTTTCATTTTCTCGGCTGCCAAAAGGTGCAATTAGATTTTTAATATTTGGCATTTACGTGCATGGTTGCTGATATAGATCTGAGGTGGTCTATGTCTTTGCTGACCAGATCTTCTGATTCGTTTTTTGTTTTTGTTTTCAGATTTACTGTATTTCTTATATATTTTTGAATTTCGTTCGGCTTTTCGTTTATTTTTATCTTGATTCCCGCTGTTATTTTTTTTATCTTAACTTGATTTTCATTGTCTACTAGGTTCTCTGATTAAAGCTTCAATTTTGGTATTGACTGCCTAGTTTGCTTCTCGATACGCCAAGATGGTATAGATCTTGTTTTCATTTTCAATCCTTCTTCTTTAATAGAATTCTGATTTTGAATGAATTCTCTGTTAAGTTGTTCTGTGATGTATATGCATGAAATGAATTGTGGGATGGTTTTGGAGAAATACTGAACTATTCATTACAAATTTACGAGGTTCTTATTCTCTTTTCTGCATTTATGTGATCATTGCTTCTTTGCCTCATGGCCATCTATTAACTTGATCTGCACTACCAGCATCATTATTATTGGAATTCTCTCTTCTTTGGCTTATTTAAGTTTTCTCCAGCTTTCCTGGTCAGCGCTGATGTTGGTTTTGTTTTTGCTTATTTCTGTTTTCTTAAAATAAATCTTTCAGCATTTGTTTCTTTTCCCCATACTAAAGACAACACGTATGGGTAGAAGTGCTTTTCTTATGGCTTGCTTCTGATTTACTGTTTAATTTTGGTATTTAGGTTGTACTCGCTGCTTCTATTATAAGCAAGTCAGGCAAAGGTGAGTTTCATGCTTGCTCATTATAGTTGTTTCTCTTGTGCCGCAGTGATTAAAATTACATTGTCGAGTGAAAAAATTTTGTTGTTCTCACTGACATTTTGTCCCTTTTTTCAGTGCTTGTCTCTAGGCAGTTTGTGGACATGACTCGCATTAGAATTGAAGGTCTGCTTGCAGCTTTTCCTAAGTTGGTGGGCACAGGAAAGCAACACACATATGTTGAGACTGAGAATGTGCGTTATGTTTATCAACCAATAGAAGCTCTTTATTTGCTTCTTGTAACAAACAAACAGAGCAACATTCTTGAAGATTTGGAGACTTTGAGACTGCTCTCCAAGCTGGTATGCGTTAGCTGCTCTTTGATTTCTTTTCTATCTTTTAAAATCTATGAACATAATAAATTATGTAAGAGTCAAGTATTTGGTTCTTTATTTCTTTGATCTTCCTTGAGTTTTGGAAGTTGACGTGTATCTATAGTTGTACAAACACCATGAGCAAATATAATCTCAATTTCCTTTTCCTCTATGTGTTCTTGGCTGCTCATTCCTTGTCACATTTGTACCTCATGAAGTTTTGCTGTTGCTTGAGGCATTTTCAATTTTTAGCCTTTGTAACATCCTTGTCTCAGCTATGTAGAACCGAGCATTTATTTGATATCTTAAATTTTTCTAGGTACCTGAATATTCTTACTCTCTAGATGAGGAGGGTATTGGAAAGACTGCTTTTGAGCTGATCTTTGCTTTTGATGAAGTCATCTGTCTTGGGCACAAGG